TTACATTTTGAGAATTAACAAGTCAAATTGCACAACTATAACTAGCATCTTTTCTTTTTCTTTTTCTGCTTACTTTGCACTTAGATAGAACAGCAAACGAATATAAAAACTACACTATAACGCGTATAGACGGTGCTTGCCTTCTAATTTCTAAATGACCAACATAATGATTAAATTACAGAGAATTCACTTTTTCTTTATATTTTACGAATAAGTCCTTTAAATGAAATAGAAACTTTCTATTATTTTAAAGCTTATGTTAAAGAACTGAAATAACTTCCAACCAGTCATGAATCCTTACATTCCTTCCATTACTCTAATTGACATCTGCATACCAGCATGTAGCTGAGATTCAATGTTATTTTTTCTTTATTTTTTTTCTAAGTCTTTTTGCTGAAAATGCTCCACCTTCTAAATTTAGACAGCTTGTACCATGTCAAAACACAACTACTGTTTACTTTTTGCATTTTCTTCATGAAAAGCATAGATAACTGAGCAGTTTAAAATGGTTTTATGCTCTAATTTTTATGTTGAATGTAGATGTTGCGTTAGTTTCTACAATAAAATAATTTTTTATAGTGTAAATTGAATTTTTATACTAAAAAATAAAAACTTACGAAAAAAAATATATATCAAACAAACTCCAAGTTACTTTATATGCACTTGTAGATATTTATCTGAGGCATCGTTTAAGATTTTTCTGACAATTTTTCATAAAGAATTCGTAAAGTTATTCACATTCAAAGATCAATCCCAAAAACATCCCGAAAACATCCAAAAAACACGCTGTTTTCGTGTCCGGTAAACTCCCAAAAACACTCAACAAGGTCCAGTGATAATCACGTGAAATAAGCGGAATATATTATTTTTAATACTAAAGATCTCATAAGCGATCTTTGGTAGTATAGTGGTTAGTATCTCCGCCTGTCACGCGGAAGACCGGGGTTCAATTCCCCGCCAAAGAGCTCTTCTTTTTTAAAACCATTTGTCGGAGTTTTAATATTATTTATGCCGCCGCTATCATTGAACCTGCCTAAAGGGAAAGTATTGTAGTGATGATACTGTGACATTGTAGCACTAATAACCATAACTGATTTTTTCTGGACTGCGAGATTAAGGTTTCTCCATTTAACGTTTGAACCTTAAACCAAATGAACTTTATATCGACCAACCTTATTTTTAACAATGATACCATTTTTGGTATCTGCCACCAGTACCATTACCACTGCATGCATGTGCAAGTTTTAATCATTTTTATTATTTATTATAATTATCATTTATCATAATTATATATTATTATTATTATTATTATCAATCGCATATTTATCAATATTGAATTAGTATAAATATCCTCAAATTATTCATGAAATAAACAA